ATTATTTCTTAATAAAATTATAAATTTTAATATAAAGAGAAAATTTCAATTTTCACTATATTTTATTAATAAATTTAGTCTCTGAATTATTACTTTTGGTCACTATTATATTTGAAGATATATGATATTATTTTTAAGATATAATTTTAAATAATTATTATTATATAAATTTTTAAGAATTTTATCATCTAATATTCTTAATTTATAAATATTTTTATTAAAAACTTAATAAATATAATATGAATCTTTTTATTTTTAAGTAAATTTTTTATAATATTAATATTAAATTTTTATTTTCTTTATTAAAACTTTATCTCTAATAAAGAAAGATTGATAATTTTCATCTTGTTAATAAGTTTCTTTTTATTTTTATTAAGATTTTTATATAATTTATTAAGTGATTGATTTATTTAATTCTAGTTTATCTTTAATAATATAAGTTCTTTTAATTAATTTATTTAAAATAATATCTTCTTCATTTTTAATTAATTTTAACTTGAGATTTAAAGATATTCTAACTTATTTATTATAGATAAAATAGAATAATATGAATTTTATTGAACTTTATTTTATTATTCTGTAAGTGAAAAGTGTTGATAATATATATATATCCTATTTTTTCTTATATAATTAAACTAATTTTTTAATAATGTCATATAATATTCTGTTTAATCTTTTTATAAGCCTATTAGTTTGAGAATAATATAATATTGATAAATAATATTTGATCTGATATTTATCAAATAATTCTTTTATTAATATATTAATAAAAATTATATCTTTATCTAATATTATTTCTTTTGAAAAGTCATATCTATAGAAAATATTTTTATAAAGAAATAGTATTATTACTTTGCTAAACTATTTAAGATTTATTTTATTTTTATCTATTTAGTATAATAATCTATAGTAATTATTATATATTATAATTATCTTTTATTAATATAAGTGATTCTATTAGATCTATATCTATTTTCTTAAAAGATTCTTTATTTTTTATTGAATATAATAAATTATTCTTTTTAATTCTTCCTTTATGTTAACATATATCATATATTTTTATATAATTTTTAATATCAGTATATATTTTAGGTTAATAATAATTTTGAGTAACTCTGTAATAAGTTATTTCAATGCCAAAATATTTAGTATATATTACTGAATAATTATTAAATAATACTTCTTCTATCTCATTCATCTTTATTACTTTTAAAGATTGATCTGATTCTTTCTTGTTATATCTAAATAAGATTTCTTTTCTTACTAAATATAATTTTGCTTTACTTTTAAATGTTTAATAATCTTTTTCTGGAAAATATTTATCGAAAAAGAATCCATTTGATTGAAAAATTTTTTTGACCGATTTATCGCTATTCAAAGCTGATTTTATCGAGATTTAACGATCCGATATCCCAGCTCATCCCGTTTTCATGTTCGACCATCAAAGTGGTCCAGGATTTTATAAATGCAATAAGAGCATATCGACCCGCTGACCTTAATTAGCAGTTTCCTTGTCACAGGATTTGTGAAAATAATATTTTTAACTGGGGATGAGTGAATTGTAACAATGCACTTGTTTCATAATGATACACAAATATGTGTATTACATTGAGTATGTTATTTTAGTTGCAGATGTTTAATTAATCTATATTATTTATTTTACCGTTACTAGTATTAACAAAATTGATTCCCGAAGCAAACAGTAAGCTGTTTTTCAGTGGCCTTGGTGAAAGAGTATCTGGAGAATTTTTACTCTTCTTGCCTGGTGCAATCTTTGCAAATTTCACCTCTCAAAAAGAGGTTGCACTTTGTTCGTTTATTTGTTTGGCCCCTTTGAATATTTAAGAAATAATACGCTTTTTCTGGGAATCCTTTTCCCCTCAATTTCCCCTCGTTTTACAATCACCTAATCTTTACTTTTCCTACACGCCTGTCCCCCCCCCCCCCTTTTCCTTCTATAACTCCGCACCACCTCGACAATCACATTAACACTTTACATTATTATCTTTTTCAAATCATACTTTGAAACGTTTGACACAACGAAAACCTTCGCGTGCGTCGTCAGTATCATCGCGTTTACCCAGTATAATCTAAATATAGTTTAATACAAAATAATATAATATAATATATTTGTATCGTATCCTGTCATATAATAATAAATAATATTTGTATATTGTGGATTGTGTTTAGACTGGTTCTAATTTACAACAAACGAAAGTTCAAAAAGGACATTTTCACCAAAAAGACTTTATATATATATATATATATATATATAGAACAAAAACAGCAACATGTCTTTTTATAACAACACCTCTCACAATCAGAACAACAATAATTATTATCCACAATCAAATCATGGAAATTCCAATGGGTATCCGTATGGTGGTAGTAGCAATAGTAATAATATAGTTAATAATGACGGGTACGATGGTCGAACTTTTCCAACATCGAATACCAATAATGGATATTCCAACAATACCAATAGATATGATGATATGGCTTCTGGGTATTCAAATTATACTAATGATGCATACCCTCCTTACAAAACAAGTCCGCCAAATCCTTACTCTACTCCATTTGATGATCCTCCACAATCTTCTTACCCTCCTGCACCAATAACAATGAATAGGAGCCTCACTCAGTATGGTCCAAAAAGTCCAGTGTATCCTCCGCCAAGGTCATCAACCTTCCCTCAATTACCATCCAACAGTAATCCAATCAATAATCAATCTCCAGTCGTAGTCTCAAAGCCGTTGTATGATAAGAGTGATCCGAATGCGCCACGTCCTCCTTCTCAGTATGGCGTGAAACAAGAATCATTTTATGATAAAGAATATGGTAATGCAGGCAACGGAAATTACAAAGAAAAGCCGAAATATGGTGGATTTATGGGTACCTTTTGTTGTTGTTTTCCGGGTGGAGGCTGTGGAAAAATGTGTGCGATTCTTTGTTGTCTAGCGGTCTTGGCGGTGATTATTGTAGCTATTGTTGTTCTGCTTTGGGCAAAGCCTCCAAATGTTGAGTTCTTGGGAATCACTGATTCACCGAATAATTTGCCTGAATATACTATGACGGCAAATGGATTTGATTTTAATTTTGGATTGAATATTTCTGTTGATAATCCAAATATGGTTGGTGCTGATTTCAAATCCATCAAAGCAACGGTACTTAATTTTTTTACTTGATTTTTGATTTTTTTCGATAACAATAACAATAATAACAATATATCTTTGTTTTAGGCGTTTTATCCTAATCATACTACTCCGATTGGAGGTGGTAATTTGACAGATGTTCATATTGCGGCAAAAGCAAACACTACAATCGACTTTCCTTTCTCGATAAATTATGATTCATCACAGGATCCTGGACTGACGATTGTACAAGACATTTTATCGAAATGCGGGATTTTTGGTGGTCAAAAACAAAAAATAACGATTGACTACACGCTGGTGGTTAGTTTAAAGGTACTTGCCACTACTGTGAGTCCGAGTTTTAGTAAATCTGCGGATTTTGATTGTCCTATAAAGGTAATATCATTTTCCCAAATAATATATCAATTGTAATATTCAATAATTTAACATCGGATTTTTTTTTAAATAGAATAATCAATTACCAAATATAGCGGGATTGAATATAAACAATGCGATTAATACTGCTGCTAGCGTTTTTAGTAAGAACAAGGGTAGCAAGTAGTAAAGCAGATTTTATTAGTAAATATTAGTCTCAAATTTTTTTTTATAGTTCACATATACACGATAGATAATTCGACATTTTATTTCTCATCATCATAGCATTATTACATTATTCACTACCACTATCTCCATTATCTTTGCATTTTTTTTGTTTCGTTTTTTTCGTTGTTTCTTTAACAAAATTGTTATATAATTTGATATTTGATTTTTGATCATTATTTATTATTCATTAATGTATAATTATTTTTTGGGGCTGTATTTTTTTATTCATGCCGGGTGAAACTTGATATGACGGGTGGTTAGAAAAAAAACGAATATTCGTTATATCGAGATTTACTGTAATAATAAAAAAAGGAATTTTTATGCTTATTAAAGCATTAAAATTCAAGCATACTGAATTAACATTATTTCAATAAATTTTTATCATAAATTGTGACAGAAATTAGAATTTGTATTAAAATACCCCGAGTCTCAAATAACATGGGTACACTGATTGCAAATTTTTTTTTATTTGAAATCTTTTTTTCTTGTTTGTTTATCTTCCATCTTTTATTAGATTCTAAATTTAACCAAAAAGAATAAATTTTCGGCGAGTACCGTCTCCTGTCAATCACATCTAAACTAGTTTTTTAATTAATAATAATGCTGTACTCCAGTGTACAGCGTACAAATAGCATAAATACTAGTACGCTAAAAATCTTTTGTTGTTATTGTTCATCATTCATCGTCTTTCTCTTTTCTCCTTTTCTTCTTCAACATCCCCCCTTGCTTTATCTCTATTTCTCTTTCTCTCGTTTTTTTTGGATGCGGTAGATAATACAACAGCAAACATCAATCAAGCAAGCGGTAATAATGGTAGTAGCACACACAAAAAATCAAAAAAAAAACGTGCTTGTGTTCAGACTTTCGTGAAATAATAATGGTTTTTATATATCATTAGACGTAATATGGCTTTTGCTCATCATCATCTACAACTTGGCGTTTGGGCGAGGGAAGGAAAAAGGGTAGTCTAGTCGTGGCTTGCCTTATTTATATATGAATAGGCGAATAGAATAAGGCAGAACAACTATCGCTTGGTTGCGCTGTATTTCCGAGATTAATCAGCAGATTTCCGAAGGTATTGACAATTTAAAATTTAAGTCATTTTCGTCGATTCTTTTGTATTACAAATACAAATTCTTTTTAATTATGCACCAATCAATTACTCAGCCGAAAGGAGTTTCAAATCCGTCATACAATACCGATAGATAAAATAAATTAATTGATTTGTTCTCGTGACTTCTAACTTACCTGAAACAAACACATATAATAATACACAACGCACAACATCTTAATCGTCTTATTCATCAGTATGAGTATTTAATAATTATTGTTATTATTATTGTTATTATTAATATTGTTATTTATTTTTATTTAGTATTATATATTTTTTATACTTTTTATTCTTTGAAATAACGTTCTTCTCACTCTTAGCTTTAATGGTTTACATTTTACGAGTTTTTTTAAGCTATTTTCGCTGGGCTCCCTTTTAGTTCTTTCGAAAGATAAGTTTCGAGATCCATAAAAATGGTAAGAAAGAAGGTAAGTAAGTAAATGTAGAAGTGAAGTTTGAGTTAGTTTGGGAACTGAATACTTGATATTTGTCACTATGAGAATAAGAAAAGATGAAACAAGCAAAAAGCGTGTTTTTCGTGGGTTTTTTAAAACCAAGAAAAAAAATCAAGAATATTTCAATTTTGTTCCCCTCCCTTTCTTATCTTTTTTTTGAGTTTTCTTGCGCTTCTTTCTTGCATGACTCTTCGAAAAGAGTACTCTTTTTTCTCATGTCGTTGGATTCCTCCAATCGATACTTAGTTTACTGCGCCATATTCGTAATTCATGTAGTATTGTTGTTATTATACATGTACATATACATACACAAAAATCATCATCGTCTACGCAAATTCATTGTAATATTTTTAATTTTATATATATATATCCGCATAACAACACCACATCTTCCTTCTACATTCATTCCAATCCACACACACACACACACACACATATACATTATTAGCGACATAAAATAATAATAATAAAATTACAGAAAAAGGGGGGGGGGGGGGGGGGGAAGAGGAGAAAGCAGGTAAAGAGAGAGAGAAATAGAGCAAGAGCAGCAGCATCACAGGCAAAGTTCTTGCTGTGCGCTGATGATGAGTGGAAAGAGGGATTGGGATTATTAAATCAACTGATCCGCGTACAATATCAAATTAGCAGCAGGATTCGGACTACTCGTTTTTTTGTAGTCCGAATATTTTTTTATCTCATTTATTTTATTTTGCCGTATTGTCTCTTGATTGATTGATATATTTGATTGATATCGAAATAATTGATTTATTTGATGATTGATTTACACGGGATAAAAGTTATTTCACGAACAAACGGAGTTTTGTTGTCGGCAACTAACATCAAATCCCCCATTAGTGAGTACACTTGTCAAAAATCAAGTTTTTTTTATACAGTAACTTATTATAAATACTATTATTATTATTATTATTTATATTATAATGATTAATATAATAATAATAATAATAATACTACCGCTACTGGTAGTACACAAACAAAAAACTACGCAAAATATGTAAATAATATATTCAGACAAGCACAACAACCTTTTTTTTTTGCTCTGAATGGCTGTGTATATATTTATATATATTATTGTAAAGTAATAGTATTTTGTTGGTGTTTGTCCACTAACTACTACTAACTGATAATACTATATGTGAGTAACGCATTTTGCTCTTTATTGTTACAATAATAAAAATAATATAGCAGGAACCAATCACACCCACTGATTCACTCATGCTCAAAAATTATATAAATACCACCCAGCGTCTAGCAACAACACATTTATAATTTTTGTTGTTGTAATAATAATAATAATAATAAAAAATAGTTTTTTTTTTCTGTTGTTACCATTACTATATTACTCGTCTGTTACTACGCCATTTGATATTTGATTGTTACTATTGTTTTATGTTTTCGTCCCTCTTATAATAATCTACCTATTACTTTACATAATATTTAAACTAACTCGCACGTAATCGTCATCGACCAATCAAATAAATAAACGTTCAAAAGTGGGTAAGAACAAACACACGTCACCAAAAACTTGTTTCTTGCTCCATCAATCATCCAATCCATCGCTGACAAATACAAAATAACACACGTGTGACCTACACACAATTATAAATAGTCCTTTCAAGCGAATATCCCCCCTCCCTTAAATAAATTTTTATCCTTTTGTCAAGTGGAATTGCGCCGCTTCTTCAAAGGAATTAAAAAAATATTAAATGCGCGTTATTCCAACAAGACTCGTAACCAAGGGATTCTAAACTCTTAAGTGAGGATTAGTTTCTCTATCAATCTTTCATATCGCACAATTTTTAACGACTACCAATCCATCAAATTTATTATTATTATTATTAGCTTAATCTCCTCAAGTCTAATTGACCACCTTACATCCTATACATACGTACACACGCGCGCACACATACACACTTGTAAAAGAGCTTGAAACGTCCATTTCATATACTTTTTGACTTCCTCTCACAAAAATGAGTCATATTATGCTTCCAACTGGTGGTGGTGTATACGCCCAATCTTCACAATCTTCGCAACATCAACAACCGGTTCCGGTTCCTAGCACACCTGGTAGCCTTTCATCGCTTACGTATAATACTAGCGGTGTCGTATTGGAAGAAGGAATGAATGGTTTGGAAGAAGATAACTTGCAATCACCACCGCCACAAAATGTGGCTGGTATTGTTCCGACTCTCCAGTAAGTTGAGCGATGTGATGATTTACAAAACACACTGTGTATTTTTATCTAATAAATTTTTTCGATGAACTCTCTTCCTCTATCACTTCTCTTATTTCTCCAATTATTCAGAAACATTGTCGCCACGGTTAATCTTGAATGTAAACTAGACCTGAAAACCATAGCGCTTCATGCAAGAAATGCCGAATATAATCCTAAGGTATTACCGCATTCTATGCGTTAATCAAAAATAGCATAGACAACTGTGGTGCACACTCAAATATTATGAAACACACAACTATACACACTATATATAAAATATATATACAATATGTATTATATTAAAACAAATAGCGATTCGCTGCTGTTATCATGCGTATCCGCGAACCAAAGACTACGGCATTGATCTTTGCTTCTGGAAAAATGGTCGTCACAGGTGCAAAGTCCGAAGATGATTCGAAACTTGCCAGCCGAAAGTATGCGCGTATCATTCAGAAACTTGGGTTCAACGCAAAGTTTGCCGATTTTAAGATTCAGAATATTGTCGGTTCTTGCGATGTGAGGTTCCCGATTCGGTTGGAAGGCTTAGCCTACTCGCATGGTCACTTCAGTAGTGTAGGTGTCATTTATAAGCCCATTTGTCTGCTTTTCTTATTTGAGCTGTTTATTAATGATTTTCTCGGATGTCGTTAACAAACAGTATGAACCTGAATTGTTCCCTGGCTTGATTTACCGTATGGTGAAACCTAAGATTGTGTTATTGATTTTCGTGTCTGGCAAGATTGTGCTAACTGGTGCGAAGGTATGTCACTATGCGCGTGCATATACGCACTTCTGCTTATTAATACGCGGGAATTTCTTAAAAATTTTCTCTAATAAACGATAGGTCCGCGAGGAAATCTATCAAGCTTTTGAAGCGATTTACCCAGTATTGACTGAATTCCGCAAACCTTAAGAAAAACGGCCCGCACAAACAACAATCCCCTTATAACTACACTGCTCGCACATTTAAAAATACATATATACATAAATACATACACTTTTTATATATATACTGGCTTTCTGTATCAGATGATGTTTTATCGATGCACAAGCAAGCTCATTTGCCACTTTGTGCTGAACGAGGAATAATAACGCCAAGCAAATTGCTATTTTTTTTCTTTCTATTGGATATCATCAACATCATCAGCATCGTCAGATTATCCATCATCATCAATACTATTTACTTCTTTTGGGCCGGTTTTTCTTTGTATTTTTTTCATTCATATCTCTTTTTCGGATGAACCATTTTTACCATGAACATTTGCAACCCTTTTTTTTCTTTTTTTCCTCCTTATATATATTAAATAGTGAAAAGGCACCAAAAAATTATATATACACACATATACATACTTTTTTTTAATTATACGCACATAATATATGCAACATATAGCGCTGCCAGTTGTATTAATTGCAATTGCACCATATAGCAACTGACGCAGCAGCATCTCATGTGTTATTACACCGCACACATTTCTCACCTTTTTTTATTCTTTCCAAATCACTATTAAAAAATGGATTTGTGTAATATATATTCTTCTTACATATATTTTCAAACTTCTTTCTAAAAAATGTACAGATTTTTTTCTTTTCTCGCACGCTTTTTTTATTTTTCTTCTTCCCCTAATTGACGAGACGAACACCAAAAAACACGCACACGACGTTGCTATTACGGTCAATTTCTTGGGTGCTTTTATTTGCTTGTTTGATTGTCACTACCAAAAAAAAAAAACAAAGCGATCAATCAATCAACCAATTAATAAAGCAATCTAGATCGTTCAATGAATGCGTCGTGGTTGTCCGTCGTGTATGGTGATGGTCTCCTTCAAAAAAAAATTATATATAATTCTGTTAAAAAATTATATCTCTTATTATAGTATTACACACATATACATTTCTCTTCTATTTTCATCCCAATAAAAAATCTCGGATAACATGAATAATATACACATCCATTCCAACAAATCTGTCCATATTATCATCACTTTTGATTTATTATTTGTCAAAATCAAAAATAAAAATTATCGAAAAGAAATTGTGTCGTGTGTAAATCAAAGAATTTTATCTTAATTTTTCGTTTTGGTGGAATGGAAGCTGTTGATTTTGCTTGAACAAATAATGTTGCAACTATTGTATATATCATTGTACGCATTAACACTATAAAGCGCATGTAACTATATTCTGATCCAATCAATTCTCTGGATTATACAAAGTTCGTAGTACGTGCGTATAAATGACAAAGACTACTATTTAGAGAAAATGGACGATGAAGCAAAACATGATGTGTCAAGCGAAACAGACCACTATCAATATATGAGACGAGCATTAGAGCTTGTAAGTTGGATGATTTATATATTTATTCAAAAACCTTAACTTTTTAACATCAAAATCAGGCTCAAGAAGCATACGAAAGTCAGGAGGTGCCAGTTGGCTGTGTATTTGTTCATAATAATGAAATCATTGGTTTCGGTCGCAATAAAACAAATGAGGCACTTAATGTACGTATGAGCGATTCTTGTACTTCATCTTTTATTTTCTAGCCGACTTATCTCGTAATTTTGCTCTCCCTCTGTGGATGTGTTTGATTTCTTTTTTGTTTTTCGATCATCAATATTAATCATCAATAACAATATCCAAAACAATTTTGATCAGGGGACTCGCCACGCGGAATTTGAAGCAATTGACGTGATCTTATCTTCTGGTAAATACACGTCTGATGTGTTCAAAGAGTGTTCTTTGTATGTTACCGTGGAACCTTGTGTCATGTGTGCTTATGCGTTGAGACAACTAGGTGAGATAAATCAAATTTCAAATGATGCAGTTTTTGAGATATCTCCAAAGCAAATGATTCGTTTTTAATTTCCAGGCATTAAACAAGTATATTATGGGTGTGCAAATGAACGATTTGGTGGAACTGGATCCGTGTTTAACATTCATGAAGAGTATGCTGATTTTTTTTATTTGATTCCTTAAATACTCAATAATGATGTGAATCATGTATTTTAATATAAATTTAGCACAAACCTATCACTCCACTCTCAATACCCTTCGATAGGAGGATATTATAGGGAGGAGGCAATAATGTTATTAAGAAAGTTTTACGTTCGAGAAAATGACAATGGTAACTATGGAATATATTTACGACTACAAATTCAATGCAAGAAATTTTAATGTTTTGTGATCTTTTAATTCCAGCTCCTAAACCTAAAAGGAAGCACCAACGAGTCTTAAAAACAACAATCAAGCCACCAAAATAAAAATGCGCAGGATTAAAAATTGTCTAGAACTCCACATAAAAATAGAAATGAATGTAACGGTAATAAATTAACTAATTAATGATAGGTAGATCATGACTTCGAAGTTAAGAAAACTCCGTGCAATACAAACAATTCTTTATTGGATTACACATGCTCTCAAGGCAATCATTTTTGTACAATAAATAATAACCTCATTAACAAATTTAAAAACCTGTATGGACTTGTCATATAATAATTTGATCTGGTAGTTTGGATACAAATCCTCAAGGAGGATTTTCCAACTTAATTTCTATCTTGATTATTCTATGAACTGTCAGCAGCAGCCACCTGTTTTTTCAACGTCGACACTTGTGTTTGATAATTTTCAGCAAGCACATGTTTCTTACGGAGTAACGATAACAAGAATTTAACTCGATCTTGAACTTCAGCTGGTACATGTCCTCCGCCAAATATCCATTTTCCATCCTGCTTTACAAATAATTGTCCTAAAGATGCAAGTTCTGTTTCGTATTTATGTATGTTTGCAGTTTCGAATGATAAAAGGTATTCATATGTTTGCAGTTCCATAGTAGCAGCAAATAATTTATCAGACGCGATTTGTTCAAACGCAGCTTGGTATAACGGTTTTCCAGGACGAATCAGGTTGGGACGACCTATCCAATACAAAAATCTGTGTTTAATAAATTTAATAAGGGTTTTTTAAATTCGATTACAAGAAAAATAATACTACCATTTATCTGAGTTATTGCGATAAGCTCGGCTTGTTCCATTGCTTTTAATGGTGTATCGTCTTTATTGAATATTGGCGAGAATTTCATCGCATCATAAGAGACCTTGAAAATAAAAATCAAGTCGTTCATCAAGTTTGTATTGCAATCTAAAGTCTCATATTTTAGAAACAAACTTACAGTTTCACCATGTGCAAGACTTTTCATTATTACCCAGAACTGTATTGCTTTCCATGGAATAGACTTTGCGTCTTCTGCGTCATCGCCAAAAGCATACTTACGTATTTCAAGAATAGATTTCACGATAAGGTCGTTTAAAGCCTCTGCATTAAAATAAAAAGAAACCAAGATCATTATATACTTTATTTTAATTCTATTTGAATAGAATAAAAATATATACCAGTGGGCGTTTGACCTCCTCGGATTTTGCTAATAAATATTTCTAAATCTGTCAAACGACCTCCAAGTGTTCTTAATGATTCCTCGATTTTCTCAATATTAGCAGCGTCGCTAACATGCCTTTTTACAAGGTTTATAGCTCTGTCCGGAGGAGCATCAGATAAGACAACATAATTAAAAGTTTTCGTTGGAAGCACTAAATTAAACAATAAACACATAGATCATCAATCATGATCATACCACATAATCAACAATAAAATAAAGGATTAAATACCTTTACTAAGCGGTTTAATAACACCAATATTAGAAGTCACGAAAACCACATGCGCAACGCGATTTTCTACCAGTAAAACAGCCAACTTGGCCAAATGGTCCCATAATTCATGCTTTTCCTTGTCTTTCGTCATGTAACTATCAATAACCACAACGGGTATCTCATTGGGATCATATTCTTCGACAATTGTGGGTACGCGTAATCCTTTGGCTCTGATTTTTGGCCGTGGTTTCCTGGCTATTGATTCTGGCGCAATATCGTGTAATGCAATCGCTAGCTCATCTAGAATTTTCTTTATTTCAGTATCGGTTGTTGATGTAAATCCTATTGTAATAGATTTTATCGAATTATTTTTTTGAGGGAGGAATAAATAAAGATGAGTTCACATGTATGATAATGACTCGCCTGTTTTTTGACCGAATGTTGCACTTGCTAATGAATCGATAATGTTGGACATCGAAGTGAGGAAATTGAAAACAGGGAAATACCCAATCTGTTGCGCCAGTTTCATAACAACTTCATTTTCATCTCGTGAATTAAGAATATCGTCACATTTTATGACCACTTTGGTCCTAATATTTCAATTAGCTCAGTAAATTCATATGATCATGAAGAAAAAGAGAATAAGATATTCAATATATGATATTAACAATTTACTTTTTGTTCTCAATCACACGATTAATAAATCCAGTTTTGCCACTACCACGGGGTCCCAACAAGACGATAAAAGTTTCTTTTAAAATATCAATAAAAATATTTATGAAAAATAAAATTTGTGCAGTTAAACGATTAGATTAATAACTTGGTGATTAATAAATTCAAGCGTTTATTACCCACCAGGCGGCTCTCTCAACCAAATCCGTAACTTCGTTTCTTCATCTTGCCGTTCTGACCACGAACTAAAGTCTGCTAATGTGCCCTCTTCTTCTTCCGCCTTTCTATTAGTCCAGAGCCGGTCGATAGTTTCGCGACGAAGCCGTTGATATAGAGGATACTCTTGAAGGTTAAACCGTTCTGTCGCTTTGGAAATGATAAAGAATTTACGAATGGGGTCAAATCTGTAACGTTGATATTTCAAATAATTCTCAGCTTTATTGCGATATAACATTAAAGTTCAAAACCAGATTCAAAACCTACATTATGTATGTAATGGCGGCAATTGTTGCCGCAATGAGCGGTATCTATATTAAAAAAATCAATAACGAGAATTAGAATAGCGAAAGATCAATCCAGGATAACTGAACCAATAATGCTTACTGCAATCCTCGGATGTTTAGCCATCCAATCAGTAATTAGATTTGTTTTCTAATAAGGAAAAAAAGAATCTTATCAACAATTATCTTGGCGATGATAGATCATTTATCAATTTAAACAGTTTACTCACAAGTGGTCTATCATACGTAATACTTAATCTTGTGCCGTCTACTACTTTTCCATGAATACAGTTCTTAGCGCTGGTTGCTGCACGCGTCGCGCTATACTGTATTGTCGCGTATCGGGGTAAGTCTTTGACGGAAGGAGGAAGTATATTTATATCTCGTATACGTCCATAAGGACGAAAAACTTTATATAAAGATTCCTAGATCGAATGCGAGAGATAGAGAATAAGATGACTTTATTATTTAGAGATTAACTCGCAATATTCATGTATTACAATGGTGACATCCGATCCTTGAAATTCTACACGTAATCGACTAACAACAAATTAGATTTTTAGTAACTGATATAGTATAAGTTTTTGGAATGTTGTTTCTAACCTTGCGGGATATCTACTGGTCAGATCTTCAATAAATGGCTCTCCCTGTATAATAAAATCCACCGAATACAAAATTGAGTATTTGAATAAAAAAATATCCGTTTCTATATTATTATTAATATACCTTAACCAAAAAAACTCGAGCTTCACTAGCACTAAACCACGGAACGACATGCTGATTTTTTAAATGCTGTTCTACACGCTCTCTAATCTCCTCCAATGCCTGTGCTTTCCAAGCAGAATCAGCCTTATACGAAAAATTGACAAACATCCCGCCTTCTCTCCGTCTATTTTCATTATAACAGCAAAAAAAATCGCCCATCATGGATTAGATTAAAGATTCACAAAACCAGTCAACAAGAATTTTTCTATCTATAACCTTGGCTCAACTCCAGTCACGTTAAAATCATGAGGTAAGTCCTTTTCAGGCGGAAGCCATTTTTTTCCAGACTTGACCTTTTCTTCTAGCCCTTCTTTGCTTGGCCTCACTATATAATATCGAAGGTCATAAAAGCCCACTTTAACAGGATACACATTATCAAAGAACAAGCGGGCGTGGTGGGTCGTAAGAGACTGATTATGGCAGTTTTTAATAAAGAAAATTGGGAAATTTATTTTACGAGATCTGTGACTGTTGTTGCTCAAACTCTAACAAGATACTGAAATGTATGTCATACAGAAGCTGCGGTATTATATGTCCCATCAACTTCTGTTGCTGTGGCATAAAAACGAGAGCGCGGAAATATTTGTCCTTGATTTTTTAGCATTCGCGTTTCCCGTGCGAGATTTTGCGTAATTCTTCTCTCGCCATAACGATTAAAATATGAGACTATCGTCGTTGTTGCTTGACAACGATAGTGTTGTAAATTTATTGCATTGTAATGAAGACAAGGTACGTGAAGAGTTGATACTCTTCGCATAACACGAAACATTTTTTTTGAATTCAATCGAGATCTACGAGATATGTGTTTAAAATTTTTTAATTGATTTATTGAAATGGCAAACGAAACAAATCGCTGTATAGCGCTTCCACTTCGCATCGAAGTCACAAAGTCACAGTCCATAACAAACGAAGAAGCACTAACTAGCATATCAAACTTTCTAAAAAACAAGTACCTAACTCCTGGTACACTCAATACAATACAAAATATATACGACGGTCTCCATGAAGAGATTCTAAATGCAAGGAGACGACAAGAAAAAGTGGTAACAGTATCGTCTTCTGAACGTGAGATCGAACAATCATCATCACCATCTAAAAAGAGCAAAAAGAGGAAAAAGAGGATTGATTGATTTATTGTAAATTTATCTATAAATTGTGATGAATGTTATATAAGGTTTTCTTATTGTAATTAAATAGTAATGAAATTCTCAAGTCTAGCTCGATATATTATTATTTACGAATAAATAAAAGGGAGAATTCTTCGATCATTAAAAAGACCGTCTATTTAAATAAATATATATCTTTTTAAGCGTAATAAGATGGTGAAATCAACATATCGGAAAGAAGTGACAGTTGATCTTCAGTGAATTCTTTCTTATCCTCATGCCAAGAATCCTGATGAGTTCTTCGGAAATTTGCGAACGTCTTTTTGACTGTGGTCTATAAAAGAATATTATTGAATATTTAATTAGCAAAAAATTTATCTACTATTACTAATTATTAATAATTGATATTAAGACAAATAGAAATAGTTCAATATAGCAAACCTGTATGGGCACAGGATCCGATATACATTTTGCAAGCTGTACCAACACTTCCGGCATCCATTTAGGCACCTCGTAAGGAAACGCGTCAATTAAACATGAAAGGCCAAGTGTAGCTGCGTGGCGACTCACAAGGGCATTTTGAAATTCGGGAGGTCTTGCTGCACGTGGCGCTTGGTCTGTACGTTTTCTTGGTGGTATTTTTGTTTTTAAAAGTTCATTAAATCGCTCCTACAAAAGAAAATTAAGATCATAATTAGAGCAAACAAAAAACAAGTAAAAATTGTATAATATAAAATATAACCCACTTTTAATGCTGCTATGGCGTTTCGTTGAGAACAACGAATGAGACCAGAGAGTGTTTCAGAAGCCATTTGACGCACCTAACAATTAAAAATGCATGTAAATCATATTCTTTCAAATCTAACAAAAAAACCAGCAAACATACCTCAATTTGACTGTCCATCAACATGTCAGATACTGTGTTCATGATTCGTAACATTTCTTCGGGAGTCAACATAAACAAATGCTTAAAGTAAAACACCTGCAACACCGGTAAGGCCTTGACTTTTATATGCCAACTCGGAGATTCCCTCAAAATCTCTATGATTTTATTGATCATGACTAATACCATCTCAGGCGGATATGTAAATGAAGCGATCATTCCAAGGACGTGCGTAGCCACCGATTGAAGATCTTGATCGTCGTTCACATCCTGCATATGAAATATTTCCGAGAGCAGCGGAATAATGAAGGAGTATGTGCCGGTGGCTTGCCAACTTGATAAAGAATCGTAGAACCATGCAAGAACTAGTTTATATAATTTAAAGTATCATGAGAAAAATTTTTTGAAAAAGTGGATCAGAACAAATTTTTCGATAATTAACCTGTTTTGCCAGCATTACTATATTCCGAAGACCCAATAGCAGTAGGTTTCTTTTCCGCACGCCAAATAGCCAACTCTTCCACAAGTTCTTGCACCATTCCCTGATAGTCTTTCGGCAAACTAGTAGGGATAAGACCCACACCGCGTGGTATATTACGGTTCGTTTCCAGAAGTGTCTGGACATCCGGTGCCGACGGATGCCATTGTATCTGAAACAATATATTAAGATTTGCAGCAAGCACATCTCGAACTTGCTTATAAGGGTGACGAATATTGGCGAAATAGTCTTGTAGTAACGTTTGCGATTTCGGTATGATCTGCCAAGAGTAACAGCTTATAAGAGTGTTTACGAAAAATAATTTTTTCGCTTCATCGAATGATTTATTTGACTCGTGATCAATTTTCGATTGTAATACCAGATCTACTAGACGATATACGCGTCGTGGATCATGATTTCGCTAAATAGAAAAATGATATTGAATTGAGTAAAGCGTTAAGGACGAAATTCTTTAGATACATTACTTACGAAACAATAACTTAAAAATCTTTCCCAGTATGTTAATGAATCCAGAGAGATCGCATTAAATGTTTTTTCCAATAACGGTATCAGCCAATCCCACATTGCTTTAGATCTGCTTAATTTCCAGTGTTTGCTACCTCTGACAATCCCTGCCAGTATTTCAGCAGCTGCACGTTGTCGATGTTTCTCTTCTGGATTTTCACACATTTTCTCAATCAAAGGTTTTACAGTCTCCAAGAATTGATCTTCAAACATTTGGAAAATACTCTTAAATAGATGTCCATTTAATACCGAGAAATTATCTTCGCGGTCTCTCGATGATTCTTGGGATAAAAAATGTGTAAACTTTTCCCAGAAATCACTAGTTGAAAATATTTCAAGAAACTTTTTGTAGGCTTCTTCAGATGTTGGTTCAAATTTAGGGAAATCAAATGACTCGGGTCGCGGAATATAGGCATCGTATTTGTCTGGCCATGCATACCATCCTATATTCATCTTGTCATGTAGAAACCTATTTTTTCTGAAAATTATTTCTTTTTCTTAGCAAATCGAACTCGGAATAATAAAAAAAATACAAACACATTTTCAAGCTTGTTCTCATCAAACGGTGAAAGTCTGGTTTGGAGATACTGTTCAGTATAATTCGGAGGAAGAGGTTTCGGCAGCTCAATAGTCCTCTTTAACGGATTTTGTTCTTTATTCAGACTTATAAAGTCGAAATCACCGGGTGTAAAAGCTCTTTGTTTAATATGAACCAGTATTCGTGTCGTGGTTGATATTGCAATTTTTCGAAGGCCTGCGTCTTCCGAGATTAAAGTTTTCGTAGCAAAGTCCACTAAATCTGCAGTGGGTGCTGCCTCAGGTCTCACCAACACATCAAGAAACTTAACAGCCATATCTTTGAATCGCCAATGCAGTTCCTCCTTCTTCACCAATTTTAATAAATCGTCCAACTAAATAATGTAATCAAAAAATATAATAATCAGAGATTTAGAAAACTGCTTCATAACATCATGCTTATCGTTATCATGAGTGGAATACAGGAAATTATTGTGTTCACCAGAATATAATATTGATCTTTTTGGAATTCCATACGTTTCTCGATTTTAGTCTTCAAGTTAATGTACTTAATTTCGTCGAGTGCGATTGAATGAATGGTTAACGCGTCATTTATTGCATTAAGCAGCCCGTCACTTGATATCATTTTGAACATTGTATTGCTGTAGTTTGTGAGGTAATCATAATAGACTTTTCTGATCAATTCCTGTACGGATGGCTGTATAATAATTGATAAAAAAGAAAAACAAAGGGTAAACCTGAATTATGTTGTATTACTTGGAAAATAATTAAAATAACGAAGAACTCACCTTATCCACATGTTGTGCATCACAAATCCGTAGTATGAACGTTGGAACAAAACGCCAATCTTTAAGACATGGATGCATCAAAGTCCGCGAATTTAATAAATAGAGTGCGCCTTTTATTATTTCTGGATGTGCCATTTGTTCTTTTTCTGGTTTTCTCCTCCCTGGTTTCCTCTTATTTTCTGGTTGTTTCCCTTTCTCTTCTGGTTTCTCCGCCTCTTCTGGTTGTTTCCCTTTCTCTTCTGGTTGTTTCCCTTTCTCTTCTGGTTGTTTCCCTTTCTCTTCTGGTTGTTTTCCTTTCTCTTCTGATTTCTTCTCCTCTGAAAATAGAGGTATTATTTGTGATAAATGAATAGATAATAATAATAAAGAAAAATACGAGGTATATTTTCATTTTCAAAATTGCTGATTTTCGAATTTAATTGTATTATTATACCTTTAGGCAGCAAACCATCCAGTAACTTTGGAATAATCAATGGTTTAGCTCCAATAAAGCAACGTGATGCACTCGCTAAGTAACCTTGAGCTATTCTGATAATTGAAAAGAATCGTAACAATTCAATTTTCTGAATCATCGGATTCCGAATAAAATAGATTTAGACATAAAAAACTCACTTTCTTATTTCCGAATAAATGCTAAAGGATAATTCAACCAGGTCATTAAACAGGTCGTCGTGTAACCGAGTCCGAACTCTAAAGAATGTATTTTGTTTGAGACGACATAAATGTTGTTGATAAGCACGCTTGACTAATAAAAATTATAATAATAAAACGAGAGTTGATCAGAAAATATGTAATCAAATTTAATAACAAAAATAACGTGACAAAATATTATTACATATATACCTAACAAATATCTAGGATACTTTTTATCACCATGCGAGGTCTTCAACATTCCTTTTGCATATTGGTATCCTCGTTTGCTTCCTTCGTATTTTCCTTTTTCTACCCCACGATCCGTCAGATAAGTTTTAGTCATCTATAACACAAAAATTATTTTAAATATACCATTAAAGAAAGGTTAAAGGAATCGTCGTTATTAATGTTAGTTAAAAATACCTTGAGAAGAATTTTCATGCTTTCTAAATCATCTTCTCGCTTAGTTCGGAAATAAGTGATAAGCTCATGAATAAGTTCTCCAAGGCTTTTTCGGAGGTCACGGACATAATGCCTACGTTCGTCCATAGGATCCGTGAAACAATATCCAGCTGGCAAAATATTATTTGCGTTGCCATGAACAGACTCGCTATCTTCATCTCTACATTTAATTAAACAACCACATTAGAACGATATAAACGAAACATATGCTCATTATAAGATCCCCGTACTCACTTAAAGAAAGAGGGTTCAATATCACCATCATCTTCTACGAGCGTTGTTGTTCCTTGTAAACAATTGCGAATCATAGTCAAATGGCGACAGAACTCAGGAATATCGTTTTTACCACTACTCGTTTCTTTCAATTGTCGGACTTTTTCTACTGCAGGTTCATAGAAAATTTGAAGCAATTCCAAAGCAAAATCAAGTTCGGCATCCGTCGGAACATGCCAATTCACTTTTACATTGTCCTTGTCACCCGGTTCCATCCAATACTTGTGATGTTCTTTCTTGTATACTGCATTTGTATATATAAGAAATTGTTCATTTAAACTAACAAATAACAAGATAAACAATTTGAACGTATCGTGGCAAAAATTTTTACCATCCGAATTCCAACGCTCTTCATCAACACTTCGGCATTCTGTGGGGTATATTTGCGTTAAAGAAATCAAGAGCATTCTTATGAACTTCCCAGCCCAAATGTATCCTTTTCGTGAAAGACACTTCTCGACCATCATTTTCCCCAAAGCAATTAACTTGTCTTTATATACCAATATCTCTGCACCAGTAAACATTACAACATGATATAATATACATTGATACCAGTGCAATGTGTTGTCGGATTGTAAGAAATATGACGGGCTTGCGGTGGGAACGGAAGCACGATCATGTTCAAGTTCTTCCATAATCTTGTCATAGCATAACGGGATGAATGTTTCCAAGCCTTTTTTGCGATTGGGACTCGTAAGTGTTGCACATAAGAAACCTATGAGAATAGAAGAATTGTTAGAGATATTAATAAATAAACATAAAAATTAGTCAGAGTTATTTTTTTACCCATTGGTTTAGTTGCATTTTGAATTGCGTGTTCAGACGCGAATTCCCTTACTTGCTTTAGGGCAAGGTCATGTAATTTATCGGATAATTGAAAGCCTACTACTTCACATGCATGCTATTGAAGAAAATATTATTGGTTTCTCTCGTATGTGTATAATGGATCTTATAAATATAATGAGTTTTTACCAGTAAAACAGTAACCAATCCCGTCTCCATATTATGTACTTTTATCTTTCTATTCTCTTGTTTAGGAAGATATTTAAACTAGATTCATTTGAAGGAGAGTGAAGTGTGTTATATATATAACAAACCATAAAATCAATGATAGATTACCACGTATTTTCACAAAAAATCAACTTTTCAGTGAATAAAGATACTTACAATGTTAAATACGCGTTCATAGAATTTTTCAACCCATTCTACAAATTCAAAAGTACTAGCTTTACAAAGAGCATCCTCCTCTGCCTCATCAACCTCCATTTCGTCATCGCGCAGATTGTCAAATTCTATACCAGACCAACGAAATCCGTTTTCAATCCCCGCGCCTTCCGTCAAATCAATCAAAGGAACGCCCATAATTGCATGAGTTATGAATATGAGCGATGATATTGTTTTAATGGGATCATTCATGTCGATTCCTGGAATTACAAGATTTAATAAAGGTGCGAGGTGTTTGCCGCCAGCTGGATAATGAACACGTGAAAATAACGGTATGGCGAGAAGAGAAAGCGCGGAAATGGAGGATGTTGTGCGATGGGTCTTGATAGTATTTTGGTTGTCCATTAGTTTCTAAGTTTAGCTTCGATAAACAATTCGCTTAATTACCTCAGTCAAAGTTTCCAGTGATGGATAGACGCGTTCTAGTAAACCTGGAAAAATCAAAGTAGGTTCTAACCCTACATACATATCATGCGAGGTTTAATTATAAGAGAAGATTGATTATGTTTTTAAAACAAGTGCATAATAGTAATAAATAATTCATACAAGCCAAATATTTCAAAGCTGCGTGACTAGCACCAATTGACAACGCGTCTTTACCAAACATCGACAGAAAAGTGACATTTCTTATTATCAGGACAAACTCGTGTCTTATATCTGTAGTAAGTCGACGATGTAGCGGCGTAGTACATTCAGGATTTTGTTCTAATAAAAACAGAGATACCGACACAGTTTTATTTCGGAAAAATTGAGATTTTTTGTCACTGCACCAATAATAAATATATAATAATTTAATTACCGTCTTTCCATCTCTTTAAAAATTCATATCCTAGGAATTGTAAAAAGCGTACTATAGAAAAAGTCCACCTTCCAAAATTACTTGGATGATAATAAGATTCTATTGCTTGAATCAAATTCGCCAAGTGGTTAAGGGACGATTCTTTGCTTGGGTCGTCGGGGAACATTGTAAAAACAATAAACTTTGCCATCATTTTAAATTTATCCTTTCAATTGTAGAATTAATTATAAAAATAGTAAATTATATATAAATTCCAAAAGGAGAGATGACTACAGGAAAAACAAATAATATCATATTTACCGCCTTTTTCCTTAAATGCATAGCACTTCCAGCTCGCATATCCACTCTTGAAGCCCATCCAACGATCGGTGTCCCTCTTCCGTTTCCGGCACTAGAACTTCCAACCGGTATATCCATCATCTTCGATCCAGTAGCAAAAACAGTCCTCGCTTGATCTTTAGTAAACACACCAATCATATTCGGATCATTCAAGTCTATCATAACATTATCCTCGGCAACGCGTGCCACAAGATCCAGAAACTCCGTTTGGTATATCAGAGAGCCTGGTATCAAATACCAAAGCGAAAAAATAGTTGATAACCATTTTGTTGCCAAATATTGACCGTCTGCTGATGGACGTGTGGGCAAAAAATGAACAAGATAAGCCTGCACTACAAATGCGTCGCCTAGCGAGTTTGCATTGTATATCGGTAGTATTTTTTCCAGAATTTGTTCTGAGGTTTCGGGTGGGAAGAACCTATGATTAGAAAATATTATGGTGGATGCTAATAATTAGGGCAGTCTAAAGAAAGCACTAAGGTAGAGACATTTATCAGGTAATTTTTTCAAGTGCAGATCAAAAAATAATTAAAATCGGATGATCAGCCAATCAAAAATCCGGCGAGAGGAGGCCTCTATGAGCTGGAAATCACCCGATAAATGCGTCTACCCTAAGAAAGCAAATTGTGATCTTTGACTGTGAAAGTTACCTTTGAGCATAATCCACCAATCGCACAATAGATTTGATTTGTTTGCTTGTTTCAGATCCAAAAGATTAAATTTAATATATCAACTCCAATGAATAATGAAATTAAATATTGCTTAAAAAACTTGCATTCACAATAAAAATTTGACAAAAATGGATACGAATCACTGATTAGCGTTTTCTGTCGATTCTTTGCAAAAAAAGTACGATCTATAATCTCAAACAATGGTTTCCAAGGTAAAGTCAAGTCTTCAGGACCGATCTTCTCTTTTTTCCTATTACCAAATAAGATTAAAATTTAAAAACAACATGAATACGAACAATCGGAAAACGAAGAATCAGTCTTACTTGAGTAGACGCATGCAAATGCTAGCATATACTTCTCCACGTGAAGGATCAATACCAGATGCTGTTGAAAGCTCAAACATTATTCGAGCCAGAACGGCACGAGTTTCTCTCGTCAGCGGATATTGAAGGTCAAGATAGCTAATTTTGAAAAAAAATATGAGTTCACGAAAAAAACATTCAATGAAGCATTAATAAGATAAAGTTAATACAAATATCCTCGAGAATTCTTGCAAAAAACAACAGTAGCATTTATGAGAATGATGCACAAGAACCGAGGTAATGCTAAAAACATACCCATTTAGTTGCTTAACCCAATGCATGCATCCCGGTCCCCAGTCTTGAGCTTTTGCAGTGAGACATAAATTCTTCACTATTCTTTGTAAAAAAGCTTCAGGTTCGCCTTCAAAGTCCGAGGCGTAAGGTAAATTTCCCGTGTACATTCTTTCGTGTCTTAGCACTACACTCGTAACAATCTAGAAAATATATTATTTTAATTTTATGATGACGTTGCCAATTTCCAATTACGTATTCATTTACGCGATATGGTACGTTTCGTTTATTGGTTGCCCTGATCCTGCACCGTGGCCTAACGCACATGATTTAGCCATTGGTCACATGATTGTCAAGATATTTCGGTTTAGAGTCAGATGACTTGAAATGGTAAATCCAGAGAATAGATCATGTGATTTTACATCACAATACTAAACATGAATGCTGATTATGGCTTAATCTTAATGTTGGCCAAAATTATTTTAGTATTTCTAATTTTAGATCATGTTTTTTGACATGCTCAAGGTAATGTTGGCCAAAGTAATGTCATAATTTATTAAAATTTTGCATGTTTTGCCTGAATGGTGGCTTAATTTCTTAATGCTAGCCAAAATTATGTATAATTTTTATCAAAATAATCCATTTATCACTTCCTTTTTTGAATGTAAAATCCACCCATATGTTACAATTGATACACGTTGTTTTTTGTATGAAAGTTTATTGTAATTGAAACTGCTGGTCTGGTATTCATTCATTACATGATATTAATAATAATAATAATGATTTGAACGGAAATTATTACCCATCGCCAGAATTATTGCTATTGATCTTAACGTTTTTTATAAACACAAGGTTTCAATAATATGCTGGGTTCTTGCAGAGATACTCGCGATTTCCACCTGATGTTTCCAGGGTCAGTAGTAGCGTTATTTTTTCTAAAATCTAACGTGATAAACATTTTGCTGGCTGGCCCCTAAATATATGTTTTATGAAAGATATTAATATCGACTTAAATAATTTATTAATTATTAGCTTACCTTGCCGGTGAATTCAAATCCAATCTCACGCACCAACTCGATAAAAGCGTCAATATCAGTAAATCGACTAACCACTTCTGCAATTTTCAGTTCACCGCTAATTTTTCAAAAATAAAGTCCGTGTATCAGAATAAACAATTACATAAAGAATTTATATATATGTATATATATATATATATATATAAATATAATGTATATACTTTGGTTTTAAAGTGCGATAAGCTTCCCTCAGGTAGTCGACATAATTAGTACCCATCAACGATAAGCAAAAGATTGCAATATCAAATAAAGAGTCCGGAACTGGTAGCTGATAAGAATAACAATAACAATTATAAATTTGGTATTGTCACCGATAATAATTAATAACAGAGTACACGAATAATCAAGTCATACCTTAGCAATATCACATGCAATCACCTGATTATTACTCGCAACCAAATCAAAAGAAAGCACTTTATTCGGTACCACTTTTGCTAATTTCGCTTCACCACATCCAAGATCCGCTACCACGATGTCAGCAGGTTTTTGTTTTAGAAAATCAATAAATATGTCAACGGGGTTTACTGGCCATGCCTCAACGACAGATCGAAAACCTTTGTGATACTTTTTTAAAAAGTGTCATGGATACTTTTTAAGTTTCTGGATCAATTGGCAATGGCAGATATTGTGACACGTATAATGAGATACCTCTTCGAACATCAATGGATCCTCTTTGAATAGTTGAAATGCTGCTGTCCCAGTAGTGGTGTAAAGTCGCTCGTTTATCCATCGGAATTTTCCTTCGGATAATTGCTTCTTGTTTTTTTGTTGAACAGACTTGTCATCGCTCTGCATAATATGTATGTAAAATTAAAATATACGAGAAAATCTTTTCATATAACATAACCCATAATAAAAATTCACCTCATTCTCAACTATATTTTTATTCTGATTCGAGCCACTTGTTCCAACCTCCTAGAATAATTAACAATTTAACAAAAACATGGCCCTCAAAAATAATTAGTCTAAATAAACTGATACCATGTTTTGTTTTGAAGAAATCTCTTCTTTTTGTTGTTGTAGAATCCTTTGTTTTTTTTTAAGTCGCCTTCGTTGTGTTTTTGAGAGTTTTTGCTGTTTGTTAATTTCGCCTCCTTTCTCATTCTTTTTTTTAATGTCTCCAATCTTCCCATTATTTTTTTTAATATCTTTATTATCGCCACGAGTTTGACCTTCGTTATTTTTGTCATTATTAATATTTTCGCTTTAATTCTGAACTAGAATAAGAATTTGTGGGGACAATAATGTAGATACCTGCAACTCCCTCTTTCAAATTTGATTTTCTCATATTAAGAAGAAATTGATCAATCTGTAGTTTTCGTTCTTTTTGTTCGGCCAATTTTCGCTCCAATTCCTTCATTCTTTTCAACTGTTCCTCCAAAGAAGCGTTACTCTGTGTATCAATTACTTCAAAAGTAGGGACAGCAAAAGACACGTGTTTTGCAATACTCTTTGATTCCGCGCTATTTAACTTTTGTTTCTTGTTTATTTCATTTTTTGCATTGGCTTTGTTGTTAGTAGCATTATTATTGCTATCCTGAGTTTCGTTCTTTCTTTTTACACCAGAACCGCCAATATTACCACCAGCACCCTTAAAAGTAGGTTTTTCTATGGATTTGTTAACTTGCTTCATTTTTTTCCTTGACAATCATACTTTCCATAGTATCACGCGTAATTATAATCTCTGTGATTCACAATCACATGATTTTTTCACGTGACATAATCAACAGAGTCAGGACCACTTTTCTCGAACCAAATTTCAAATTTCCTAATATGAGTTTTACTTCTAATATAGGGGTTGACTAAAGCCTGGTGGACATGTGAGTTTGGCATGTGATATTTGTGGCTGAAATCACTTCGAAAGGGATTTGGCAATGTAATCGGAAAATCGATTTTCCGATTGCATGACAAATATATCAAAATAATCTTGACTTGTTAGCTGTTGCTTGCTTGCTTGCTTGCTTGCTATTGGTGTTTTACATTTATTTAGGAAGAACTCTGAAAAAGATTTTGATTATGAACTCAGACTATGTTATTTATTTGTAATTTTATTTTTGTTAATATGAATAAAAAAAACTATTTATTGATAAAAAATTCCTCTTCTTAATTTTACTTGCTAATATATTTTTTCTTTTTACTTACTATGCACTTTTCAATTACTTGTTGCACTATAACAAAATTCTTTTCTGTGTCTTATTTAAAACATGTAATAATATATTAAAAAAAATATATTCTTTTCAAGAACTAAAAAATATGACATAAAAATAAATTCTCTTATATTACCTAATCAAAAATGCTCTCTTTTCTTTAATATCAATTAGCTATTTGAAATTTCAATATATGAATTTGATGATGAATAGCAGCTTCTAGTTTCAAATATATGAATCAGATTTAATTATAGAATTCTTATTAATGATAATTTATAAAGAATCTTTATATATTACTTTATTAAATATAATCAATCAAGTATATGAAAAGAAAAGATTCTTAATAAAAAATATAGAAAAATAAAAATTCAGCTAGCAGATCTGTATTTTGCAAAGATTAAAATATCTTAATTTATTACTAAAAAAAAGTGTGAATTAAATGATATAATAACTTACCTGATTATTTATATTTATTAGAAAAGAGTGAAAAATTAAAATAATCAGAAACTATTTGAATTTTAATTGAAAATAAAGTAATTAAAAACTACTTGCCATTATCTATCATTAGTACTATTAGAGAATATATATTAGAAAAATTATATTTTAGTTCAAGTGTAAAAGAGTTAAGATTAAAGAAAGCTGCAAATATAAAATACAAAATTTATCAATTTTATAATTTATATCTTCTAGATAATATTAATCTTGAACTTGAAATTAATGAATTGATTTTTTTTTAAAAAAAAAAGAATATTAAGTTAAATACTATCAAACTTCTTAACAATCTCAAGATTTTATTTTTATATATCCTGACTAACTAAAAAAACTTTAGCATCATGATTAATTAACACTAATTAACTTTATATATAAAATAAACAAATATAATAAGCATTTATTTACTTTATATATTCATAATAAGTATGAATATTAGAATGTGAGTACTTACTTTTTCATCAGTAATAAAAATAATAATACAATAATAGAAGCTTTAAAAATAATTTGATAATTTATATACTTCTAAAAGTCTTAGTACTTTCTTGCTAATCAGAGTAATATAAAAGCTAATAGAATTATGATAATTTTTCTTTTAGAATATGATATTCTTTTCTGTACTATACATATCATAAAAACTTAAAATAAAAAAAATTTATTATATAAAAACTCATAATAAAATGATATAAGTGATGTATAAAATAACAAAAATCAGTTGTAAGAAGCTTATTTAATAAGTAATTAATAATTATCTAGTTTTTATTATTTAGTAATATATTACAAGATATTATATATATAATATAAATCAGTAAACTCTTTAGATCTATTAAAATTTTTCTCTTCTTTTACAAGTAACTATCACAAACTTATTAAAATTATATCACAGTAAATTAAAATAAAAAATATCTTCTTTACATAATTTAGTTAATAAATATAAGTTTCTTAATATAATTATTTACTTTTTTTTTATTCATTACAAGATCATGTCACTAATTTAATCTTTATTTATTATGTAATTATACTAGTTTTTTTTTATTACGTGATTATACTACTAGTTTTCTTTAAAAAAACTAATTTATCTTTTTACTAGATATATATTATAATATTATTTTACTTGATATGAAAAAGTATTCAGATTTAAAATATATAACTTTCAGATTCTGTATTAAGAAGATCTTAGTTATTGATATTGATCATAAGATTCTTAATAAAGTTCATAAATTTCTCTTTTCTATCCAACAAATAATCATTAATAAAGCTTGTATCATTAAAAAAAAATATAAAAAGAAAAAGTAATATTAAGATTATTGTCATCTCATTACTATTACCTCTTCTTTTATCAATATTAATTATTTTATTAATATATTTTCTATGAGTATATGTATAATGCTAGAAAATTATTAACTACTAGTACTTGAGAGAAATTTTAATAAATATTTGAATAATGTGATTTTGAGGTATATAAAAATTAAAAGTTAGTAAAAATTATAATATGTAAGAAAACTGAAACTGAGAAAGTAGCTAAAAGTTGATAACAAATCATAAATGAGTTGATAAAAAAAATATACAATCTATATTAGAGAGTTGAAGAGAAAGAAAATATTAAACAAATAGTTATATTTATTAAAAAATTAAGAGTTAGTTTAGAATTTATTTTAAGTTAATATTATTTAAGTTTAATTTTAAATTTTATTATAATATGATTTTTATTTTATAATTAATTTTATATAAATAATTATTTATTATAATATTAATTGAGTATTAAATTCATTATATTATTATAATAGAAAACATACTATTAATCAAGTACTAAATTTATTATATTATTTAATAAAAATTATATTATTTAAGATTCTTGTATTTAATTAATTAAATTCTCAATTATAAAATCAGATAATAAATTTTTTTATTAAATAATATATATAGTCCAAATATATAATTAGATGAGTTATTATATTATTTAACTTACACTTTTTTTTAGTAATAAATCAAAATATTTTAATCTTTATAAAATATAAATTTACTGATCAAATTTTTGTTTTCTTATATTTTTCACTAGAAATCTCTTCTTTTTGTATACTATTATTATTATTTTATTAAAATTTGTAATTTCAAATTTAATAAAGAGAATTATCTGATTGTAAAATATTTTATAATATTACATAATTTCTGACTTCTTATTTTTCAGTATTTTTTAGTATCATATTTATAATTATCTATATACTCCTTTTTTATAACATTCTTTAGCATACAAAATCATGTTATATTCTCTAATTTTTTATATTTTATAGCCTATATTATTAATATTATAAATTATGATAGTTTTTCTCTTATTTTTCTGTATTTTTCAGTACATATTATTGATAATATATATATATTATAATAATTTTTACTATTCTTCTAGCATTTTTTAGTATAATTATTTATATTCTTCAGTATAATAGATTATATTACTCTTTTTTTAGCCATTCTTTATTATTACTTACCTATTAATATAATAAAAAATTATATAGAATTAGAATAATATTATTTTTAATATAGCAAAAGATAACAAAAATATATAAAATAAATAACTTTCAGATTTTTAAAAAAAAGAATAAAAATAAAATTATGTATAAAATCTTTTTTTCAAGAAAAATACTTGTAAAAATCTTACAAAACTATAATTTTAATATATTAATTAGACTCTTTCTACTAGAAAAAATAATAATTTGGATTAGATCTTTTAGTTCAAAAAAAATGAAATATACTATTAATTAAATGATTTAATTGATCTGAGTTTAAAACTTTTAGCTAGAAAAAGTACAAGAATAAAAAGAATAAATTAGTTAATAATTAATATATAAAATTTTCTTTATCCTATCTCATAATTATCTTTGGAAATATTCATATTGAATGATATTTATAAATATTAATATAAAACTTAAACTAACTGATAAAATTAGTCTAATTACTCTCTCTTATCCATCATTACAGTTCATGTTAGCAAAAATAAAATTATAAATAAATAATATAGTCTGAATTCATAATCAAAATCTTTTCAAAATTTTTTCTAAACAAATATAAAGCATTAATAATAAGTAAATAAGCAATAGTCAATAAGTCAAGATTATTTTGAAATATATGTCATGCAGTTAGAAAATTAATTTTCTAATTATACTACTAAATTCCTTTTAAAATAATTTTAATCACAAATATCACATAATAAACTTACATATTATAACTAATCACTTATTTGTGTGATACAGTAGATATGGTATAGTATATGGTATAGCTGCAGCATATGATATAGTAATTACCAATTACTATTAAATTAGATGAATAAGTAATTTTATTAATTAATCTTATTTATAATTAATTCTATTTTTAATCTATATTATTACTTATATTTAGTCTTATTCAAATATTAATTTAGCTATGTATGTCACACCTAATTTATAGTTTTATTAAATTAATAATTTTCTAATTAATTATTATTAATTTTCTTTCATTTCTCACTTTAACTTT